ATTAGCAAAAAGATCCCTGATCACGTCTACAAGTATACTTACCAACAGTACCAGGAGACCAATGTCATGTGTGTCACAGAACGATTAGCAAAAAGGTCCCTGACATCTCCAAATCTCTCCGTTGACACCTTGTTTTCGTCAATTAATAATCTCAGTTCTTCATCTGAAATTCGGCAGCGCTGTTGTACGACTAAGTTCAATGTCACTTTCTGATCACGCCGTATGTGTGTTTGAAGGCTGCTTGTCAATCATATATATAGAAAGGAAGTAATCGTGCTGGTCTGTCTAGATACCAGTCTCTGCTCGAAAAAAAGACAAGAAAGCAACTTATATTCTGTTATTGGGCCTGATAATTTGCTAGAACTCGAGGAAAACTACAAACAAGAGTAATATTTGCTCAATATTAAAAAACGTTGTTCATATGGAAAAAAAGTTTCCCGTAATTGAAAAAGTTTTTCCTGTTATGAGGGCCRATCAGCCCATATTATCATTGTATTAGTTGCTTAGTTGTTAATTAGAACTGAGTAGAACATTCGAGAACATTCTGTAACCTTCCACTTGAGTTATGTTAAAGAAAACGTCCAGAACCCTCTAGAAGCTTCAATGCTTAGTCATTGAGATTCAGTACATTTATAAGAACATTCTGGAATGATGTAATAATTATATTTAGAAATATTGTAATGTCTATATTTAGAAATAATTTAGGTATATAAGGAGAACAGCCAGAGCTGTGAGTTTAGCCTTAGTTAAGTACAAGCCTTCATTTAGTATATTTTCTACAGTCTTGATAGCTGGTCAAGAGAGAGCTCTACTATAGAACAAGAAGAAGAAGAAGTGGAAGAAGAACAAGGGACAAGAACTAAAAAGCTCTGGAGGAAAGCCATTGAACTGTTTGTAACAGTTAAGGTCAAGTTAGTTAGACTAGGTTAGATTTTGTCTAGTTAAGTCGTATTTTTGTATCTAACCTTAGTTTTGGTGTTATCAAAACACATTTGACGACAATTCACTGGGTCCTACGTGTTTCCTCGCAACTCGTGCGTAACATTCCAAATCGTTAAAGTTGCTCCAAAGTTGCCGAACAACTTGTGGACAGCCCTAATAATCTCGATTTGCTCGTTTCCTCATCACGGCCTCTCGAGGGAGGAGTAATCATAGACTTCCTTGTGATATTCTTTATTGAAGCCTCAAAAGACTTTGTAACAATAGTCCTAATATAAACTAGTGAATTCTTACTTTCTTAATATTATTGTCTTATACGCACAAGACAATAAAATAAAGAAAGTGAGAATTCATAGTGAGTTTTCAAAGCATTAGAAATAGGGTAATTCGATTTATATAGAGTGAAGGCATTTAACCCGTGAAATAAAAAGTATTCGCCAAAAGCGTGTAGTAGTCAAATAGACATAAAAGAAAACAATGGAATTAGGGTCTATTAAAGTGTGTAAGGCCTAGGGCAAACGTCGAACTTTCCATGCACCGAACTTAATTACATCAAAGAATGCCGCCTCATTATCACCTGATATCCATTGTTTTTAATGAGTTCGGTGCATGGAAAGTTCGACGTTTGTCCTAGGCCTTAGTCTAATATTTATTTTACGGGTTTAATGACTTCACTCTAACACGTTTTTATTTTAGTAGATGATTGTTAACTTTATTTCAATGATTATTACTATTAAAATATTGAAGTGGGTGCATTAGAAACCTGAATTTCAACTTTCGTGATTTGGCCGCCATCTTTGTGCCCCTCMAATAGGACACAAAGATGGCGGATCCATAAATTTCAACTAAATTATGGGTATAATCAATCACTTGTATCTCCGTGTCTAAAACTTCTTTTAGCTAGAATTTTGGCTGAGATATAAGGTTTCAGTTGCTCTTTCGGTCTGTGGAGGTTTTGTTGTATATAAGTCTTTGGAAAATTTTCGATGACGTAGATGAAAGCTAAGAATAGTACGTTTGTCTTCTTTAAGCCGAATCTACACGAGCAAGTTTTCCTTGACAAGTATGCTTGACCATTTTCATTGCTCGTGTAGACGATCAGCAAGTTTTCTTTGACAATTTTTAATTGACAAGGTTTCCTTGCTCGTGTAGATGATGAACAAGTTTTACTTGACAAGTTTTAATCAGCAGAGTATTTTTAAAAAAATGTTTCCAGTCTCTTGTGGATCAAAAATCAAAAACAGCTTTATCACTCCAACTTATTTTCGCTTTGGCTGCCATTTCCTATTTTGACAGGAGCGCGCGGAAAGACTGAGAACAAAAACTGATTAGTATTGCCACATTTTCCTTGTTGTCCATCTACACAAGCAAATTTCAGCCTTGACATTTTTCCTTGACAAGGAAAAGCTAGCATGCCAGCTTTTCCTTGTCAAGGAAAAATTGTTCATTTTACTCCATCTACACGAGCAAGTTTTCCTTGTTAAGGAAAACTTGTCAAGGAAAACTTGCTCGTGTAGATTCGGCTTTACATAGCCGGCCGGCATCAGCCAAGTTTTCAATTACCAACGACCGTAAAAAAGAATCGATGGGAGGGKGAGATTTTAATTTGTTTCAAACTCGTTAAAAATTATTTAAACTTATTTAAACTGACGTTGTTGCTTTAGACCCCTTGCATGTGACGTCATGAGCTGCACTCCAACGTGCAGCAAGGGGTCTATATTCGAAATTAGTTTATTTGCAAAGTTTCCTCTTTATAAATTAACAAATGCCTTAAATTTCTGAATCAGCAGACTTGCTGAAGATGAAGGTTATTTTCCGATAAGTAATATATACAGTATGAGTGGCCGTGTTGTATCAGATATACATAACTCATATACATAACTAGATTTACTCAGTAAAAACGTTTTAAATAAACTCTCGTTCGTTCACTGTACGCAAGCAATCACGATGAAAAAAAATTGTACCTACTAAATAACTAGCACAAATCTGCTATGAATAGCACTGATGAAGCAAAAAAATAAAAGAAAGAAAAAAAAGAAAGATAAACATAAAAAACACAAAAAAAAAACCACACACACAAAGGAAAAAACAACAACAAAAACAAACAAACAAAAACGAACAAAAAAAGCAAACAAAAAACAAAACAAAAAAAAAACAAAACAAAACAAAACAAAAACAAAAAACACAAAACAAAACAAAAAACAAACAAAAACACAAAACACACACAAAAAACAACAAAAACAACAACAACAACAACAACAACAACAAAAAACACATTATTTTGTATTATTTTGTGCCAAATAAACGTAGTACTTTTTAAAGGATTATAATCTTAAAAGAGATTGCACTCAGATTCATTGCCAGATGAGTATTGATTAATGATAACCATGCCATATACCGTTCTTATAATGGCTGACGAGCGCACGAGAACGGTGTATTGCAGTCCCGTTTCAAAACCACTAGGAAACCAGGGTGGTCATGCCCACAAGGGTTGCCCAGAAGCAATACCCACATTTGTGGGTTCTGGCACGGGCGCGCAAAGTTTTCCCATTTCAGACTACGTGTCATTCCCTTGAGGATAAGAATCTCTGTTTGAGTTATATCCATATTCATGTGTCCTTCATGTGCAACCGCAAAGAAATAATACTCTTTCAAATGGCACGTGGTCTGAAATGGGAAAACATTACGCCCGAACCGAGGAGGTTTATTATTTCGGCCCACCGTTTGGCATCCTGACGTAAGGTTTTCGACATCCAAGCGCGTTATGGGGAAACGGATTGTTCGACACATTCTTGGCTTGGATGACCACCGACGTTAATGGCGGTCCCGTCCCTAATTGACTAGAGATGTTAAAAGAGGACCACTGAGTTGACTTTCAAGTGTGATCCTCTGTAAACAAAGTTGATTTATATATTTTGAAATTTAAATTAGGTACGGTTCATATGAAGAGTCTACATTTGAACTTAGTCGTTTTTTGTCCATTTTATACACGGTGTCTCGATGTGTCTTCTTTATAGCTTCACTTTCCTCTTGAACTTGACAAATATTTCAAAACTTTGTTATTTAGTTGATTCTTCCATAAAACCCCAGCCAAGACTCAACAAGAGGATCGTGGACTGTCTTCAAGGCAGCGGAGCCTGCTTTTCCTTGCACATTTAGGTCCTCATTTCCCTGCTGTACCGCAAAGAACTCTGGAAATAGCTTTGAAGCTAAGTCACGTGAGCTCAAGGTGTCTTTGTCACGTGATACACGGGAAAGAGCACCCGAATCTTTTTTAGAGTTCCCAGAGTGAATAAATAACGTTTTGTCCTGGCTATAATCACATGAAATCGCATAGTGACTCTCAGTTTTATCCGATGACATTTCTTCATAAGGTTTTTCGTTTTCATTGGTAGAAATGCAATGTTTTTCCTTTCTTTGACCAGAGTCTTCGGGTTTAAGCGGGTTTTTCGTTGACCAAGGTTCGGCATCGGCTTCTCGCTCTTCTATAATCGTTCGCAGAGGTGAGCAGTAGCCAGATCCACTGCTGTCTGATGAATACGATCTCAAGCGAACTCTCATCACGCACAAAGAATTCTTAATTACCATGAACTTTACAAATGATATTGAAGAATCCCAGTAAAAGGGCAAGATGTCCGCCTTTTGCGCTATAATTTTTTTTGTTAGCAGCTCAGAGGCCGTCTGCATCTGCAGTGTTCTTCGTCTTCTGAAAGATCTTTCCAGGAAAAAAAGAGTTTGTTTTGAAACAGCCTGAGATCTTCCAAGGATAGCACTTCCTCGAGTCAATTATTTATCGCTGAGACGCCTACTGATTGGCTGAGCTAAAAGCCATTTGACTGCTTTTGATAAGATCCGTCAGGCTAAAAATAGAATAATCAAAATCTTTTTTTCCGATTTCGTCTGCAAGTGGCAATCGCACTCAAGCGGTTTCTTTTCCATCTAGAATTATCCTTCAAATGCCAGGTTAGAACAAAATACATAAATATTGTATCGAGATTAGTGATTATTTTCTCGCATTTTCTGTGAGATAAACTGTATATCAGCTAGAAGAAACAGTCGTATACAAAAGTAATATTAATATTAATAAAATGATTTAGATTTCCAAAGAATTTTAAAAGCTTTTGAATGCGAGGTTTGAATAAATATATAAATATGATATTATGGTGATTCTCTTGGCTTTAGTGTGCGATAAACAGTCATGGGAAGAACAGTCGTTAAGAAAAAATAAATAAATAAAAAATAGAAAGATTTAGACTTCGAAGAAAATTCAAATTCTTATAAATGAGAGGTTAGAATAAATACATAAGTATCAATGGTATTACGATGATTCTCTTACATTTAGTATGCGTTAAAATAGTCTTTTCAAAAAAAATATGAATAAAATAATTTAGGCAATTCAAAATAATTTAAAATATACATCAGACTCTAAGATTGCATAACGATTCTTTGTTGTGATAAATCATGATGTGAACGAGCTAACCAAACTATAATGAAATGAGTTCGATTTTAAAGAAAATCCAAATGAGATTTTCTCGATTATTTTTTCTTTTAATTTTTTTTCTTATTTAACATTTTTTGATTAAAAAATTGTGACAAATCCTCTTCAGCAACGACAGCAATCCAAAGGAAAAGGCTTTTTTTTATATATTGAATTATTGGAATTTAAGAAAACGTAAATGCATCGTGTTTTATTAGGAAATCAAGCAACTATCAAAGACGAAGCTTAAATTTTGTGACCTCGAAAACCCAGTGACAAAGGAAAGAAATACGACAAATTCAATAGAGAAAACCTAAAAAGAATCCATCAAATTCGTTGGTACATGAATGATTTATTTGTACAACTGAGCAGATGGAAAACAGGTTAGATTTTAATATAGAAAAGTATAAAAATAGCAGAGATGTCGACCCGGGGGGGAGGGGGGGGGGTACTCCCCTATATTTGCTATACGGGTATGTGCCACCCTATAGGGTATGGTTTTTCGGCTTTTGGGTCTGGGGTAGGGTATCATTTTTTGACATTTTTTCTGGGATAGGGTATCATTTTAGTCTGGGATAGGGTTAACGATTTGGTCGTTTTTGTCTGGCTAATAGGCTCACTTTCTGCCGGCACAAAAACAATAAAAACGTAAGTAAATATTGATTGCAATCGATCGTAAGACCGTATTTTCCGTCTTTTAGTCTGGGATAGGGTGTATGATTCTTAGTTTTAGTCTGGGGTAGGGTATGTAAAATCAAAATTTTAGGTCTGGGATAGGGTCAGGGTTTTGAGGTCCTGGCGGCACACTCCTACCCAAGTTGGGGTGGTAGTATCCCCCCCCCCCCGGGGATGTCGATCTTATAATCTTCCCCAGCAGGTCACATGACTTGACCTAAAGTTTTAGTATTTGAACCAAAAGATGACTTTTCCAAATTTTTCTCGAGGAAATTGCAATTGCTTGTTTTTTTCATACTTTAAATAGATGTGTCGACGCCGCGTCCATATCCCTTCAGGGTTTATATGTTGCTAAAAATATATGTATTAATGTTATTTGTACAACATATGTTCAACGAAATAGCATGAATGGTTTAGGCACGGCTGGAGAGCTAAAAATAGCATGGTGATATATAAAATGACAAAGTTCGCAATGAAAATGAATTAATCTGTTGGATTTTTGTTTGGTATCGATGACAGCGGATTTCAGACATGATTATAGTTATTTATCTTTTGAATTAGATTGAATGTGTGATTATCGGGGAAGACGCTGGATATCATTAATCTTTAAATTTGGAATTCGGAATTTTTGGGATTTTACAGAGTATTATCAGAGGAATACAAAAAGATAAGAGGGGATAAAAAGAATATGACGTAAATATAGAAATATATAAATAATGGATAAATACTGAATAAAAACAGAGACACACTCTCTTCCTCTCGAGGAAGCGTTGATGCCATTTAACAAAAGATATCTTATTAGCATCCATTGTTAACGGCACCAAAGTGGACCATGCTTTTGTCTTTTAACTCTCTTGGGAATGCTTGCAACCGATCAATCAATAAGAGATTACAATTTATTGTAGCGATAGAACAGAAAACGATACGAGTGGAGTGGAGTGGAGTGGAGTGGAGTGGAGCGGAACGCAACGGAGTGGAGCGGAACGCAACGGAGTGGAGCGGAACGCAACGGAGTGGAGCGGAACGCAACGGAGTGGAGCGGAAC